TAAAAGATTTTAGGGTTACCTCTTCAGAGGGGGGAATGTTAGAGTAGCCAACAGCCCCATAAAGAAATAAATAAATTAAAGAAGAAGAAAGAGTACATGAAATCATCAGAAAAAAGTGATGGGGAGATATGGGAGGAATTGGAGGGGAGGGAGTGGGCATGGATTTGATCAAAACACCTTAGCACATATGAAATTTTCAATAATTATTTATTTAAAAAAAAAAAGAACTAGGCAGACAACTGAGCCGGTCCTCAGAGCACCACCCTGCACTGATTTCACATATGACTCTAGCTTCCGGGGCTCTTTGCCCACCAGAAGACGGGCCATGGTCAGCACAGGAAAGTATGCTGGGCTTTCTTTCCTCCAACTTCCTTTCTTCATAGTTCTTCTGATTACTTAGATAGGGTTTCATGTAGCCCAGGCTAGCCTCTAACTTGAAATCTTGCTAAGGATGACCTCCAACTACTGATCTTCCTGCTTCCACTCTGAGTGCTGGGATTACAAGTTTGTGTAGCCTTGCCTGGTTTAACTGATTCTTATTTTTAAGATAGGTGGTCACCAAAATAAGCTGTTTAGAAGCTAGATTAAGGCCTGTGGTGGTACACACCTTTAATTCCAGCAGAGACAGGCAGGTGGATCTTTGGTTTGAGGGCAGCCTGGCTGGTCCACATAGTGCGTTCCAGGCCAGCCAGGGCTACATGTAGGGGGCATCTTCCTAGCCCCCTAAATACCCTATCTCCAAAACCGAAACCAAACCCTAGCTAGACCAAAATAGGTACAAATAAACCAGTCCTATGCTGTGCTTTTTTCCCATTTCTTTTTTAAAATTTTATTTATTTTATTTTATGTGTACAAGTGTACTGCTTGCATGTATGTAAGCACACCAGTGTCATGAAATGCCTGTGGAGGTCAGAAGAGGATATCAGATCCCCTGGAACTGGAGTTACAGATGGGTTGTTAGCTGCCATGTGGGTGCTAGCAACCGAACCCAGGTCCTCCACAAGAGCAGCCAGAGCTCCTAACTGCTGAACCATCTCTCCAGCCCCCAGGTTTTGCTTATTTCTAAAGAGTCAGGCAGTCTGGTGGGTTTTATTAACATTTAATTTATTTACTATTGATTGATTGATTGATTGTTGATTGATTCAGGATTTAGCGCAGTGCATGGGGCCTTGAACTCTCTCTGTTCCTCCTGCTCCTATAGCAAAAAGTCCCATAAGAGAAGTCTGGTCAAGAGACTAAAAACCTCTGGCCTGGGTGGAGCCTTAACTTTCCAGTTTCACTGGGTCAATTACCTGGTCCCGGGAAGACCCCTAGGAAGGCAGGTTCATCTTAAGCCATGCTAAGTAGATGGGCACTGATAAGCTAGAGTGTTAATGAGCTGGTGAACTTTTTTTGCCCAGAGTCCCCGTCCCCGTCCCCCTAGTACAGCACTTCTGGACCAGGACAGACATAAGGCTTTCTGTCCGTCTCTCTGTTTTTCTGTAGTCTCGCATTTCGTTTTCTATATCTCTTTTCTAATCATGTTTTCACTTTGGGATGCCCCAGCTTCTTATTTTTTTTAACTTCTTCCCCTCACTACTGCTCCAGAACAGAGAAGACAATACATCTCCCCATAGGAAACTAAAAAGCCCTCCTAGACAATGATAGGTTTCCCTGAAGTGTCATTGTTCAGGTATGCTGAAGTGGGCTTCTGTGGGCTAATATAGAGAAATCGCTTACATACAGTAGTTCTACAGAAAATGACTTTCAGGTTCCACATTGAGACAGGGTCTCCCTGTAGCCCCAGCTGGCCTGGAACTTACTGTGTAGACCAGGCTGACCTTGAATCCACAGAGATCCACCTGCCTCTGCCTCCTGAGTGCTGGAAGTAAAGGCGTGCACCACCACTCTACTTCTTGTTCTTGTTACTTTTTGAGACAGGCCTCCCTGTCTGTCGAGCTGGACTTGAGCTCAAAAATCCTCCTGCCTCAGCTTCCTCAATGTGGAAATTTCAGGCATGTGCTACCAATAACTTCTGCATGTGTGTGTGTGTGTGTGTGTGTGTGTGTACAAATATGTGCATGTGGAGGCCAGGGGTTAATATTTGGTATCTTCCTCAACTGCCCTCCATCCTATTTTTTTTTAATTTTATTTATTATTTTTATTTTATGTGTATGAGTGTATTACCTGCATGTATGTGAGTGTACCCATTTCGTGCAATGCCGTGGAGGTCATAGGACGTCTTCAGATTTCCCTGGAACTAGAGATAAGGATGGTTTGTAGCCGCCATGTGGATGCTGGGAATCAAACCTGGGTCCTCTGCAAGAGCAGTCAGTGCTCTTAACTACTGAGCCATCTCTCCAGCCTCCGGTCTTATTTTTTGAGACAGGGTCTCTCACATATCCTGGCGCTTGCCGACTCGGCTAGTCTGGCTGGCCAGCAAGTCCCAGGGATTCCCCTCAACTCTGCCTTCCCATATTTATTTATTTATAAATATTTATGTATTTATTTTTATTTTATGTGTATGAATGTTTTGCCTGTATGTATGTAAGTGCACCCATGTCATGCAATGCCTGCAGAGGCCAGAAGAAAGTGTTGGATCCTGTGGAGTTACAGACAGTTGTGAGCTGCCATGTGGGTACCAGGAAATGAACCTCTGTGAGAGCAGCCAGTGCTCTTAACTACTGTGTCATCTCTCCAGCCCCAACTTTAAAAAATATCTGAGCAAAAAGTAGGGCAAGCATGGAATCCAAATTCTACTATGAGGTCTTCCCCATTAACTACAACAGTAAAACTAAATGAAACTCAGATAATCCCCTTTTATGAATTAATACAGGGGCCAGCATATGTCTCTTTATGTGTATTTACTACCTGAAATTCTTTTTCAACATACCTGTTGTCTTCCTCCAGATTTGTCTTGGATAATAGTCCTGGCAACAGCACCCGTGAACACGCAGGATCTGAAAAAGGAGCTGACCACATTGCAAAGCCCGATGGCTATTAAATCCTGAAAAGAAACAGTAGAGCCTTTAAGCCCACTTTTTGTTGAAGAATATTAATTTAATTTTTGAGTTACAGGTACACTGCTTATTTTATGAGTGTGAAGTTAGGGTTCTTTATGGTCCTTCAGATAATACTTTGATGCAGCTGTGGAAAAAGTAAACAGAGGTGGCCAACCTGATTTTCTAGATTAAGCTGCATTTCGGTTTTAGCTTTTGATTGTAAGGAAAGTACCTTTCCAAGATAATAAAATGAGACTGTTGGCTTTTCTTATTCTTTCACATGACTCACAGGAAGAACAGCAGTGGATTTGCCTCCCTCCTCTACACTACACCCAGTGTCAGCTAGGACACCTCCCACTTCCACGTTTCTTTCTTGAATTTTAGGGAGAATCACACTTAAAGACTTTTCTTGAAAACTAAAAACAAGACAAGGAGGCCGTTTTTAATTCTGGGGATTAGCAACCTGGTTTTGTATGTTATATTCTAAGGATGTGGGTGAAAGATAAACTCAAGAAGCAAGGGACTCTTCTAGCTCAGCAGCATGGCACCCTCTATTAGCTTTTCTTTTTTTGTTGTCGTGCTGCTGTTTTGAGACAGGGTCTCATGTAGCCCAGGCTGGCTTCATTTTCTATGTAGCTGAGGCTGGTCTTGAACTCCCAGTCCTCCTGCCTTTGTCTCCTGAGTGCTGGGATTATGAGGATGCACCACTGCCCCTGACTCATATGATGACTTTTTTTGCCTCTCCACACCATATCCATTCTAGGGGAGCAGTACCTGATGAATTTGAGTGACTTCAACATTATATACCCCCCACCGCTTAAAAAACTTTGTGAGTACAGTTCAAATTATGCTCTAAGTGATTCTCTGGTTAAAGAAGAATCTAATGTTCATGTTGGTGGGCGGCACAAGGACTTAGGGATTAGAAGAAAATATGCTCCCTCACCTGGTTGGAATTGACTCTGTAGTTATGCAAGCTGGCAATCTTCTTGCCCAGGAATATGAGCAGGAAGGAGCTCACCAAAGACAAGGACAAGGCTTGTAAAATTATTTTGGTCAGAATGCTGAACTCTGGTGTGTTGGGGAACACGAAGCTGGAACAGAGGAGTGGAGTTACTGCTGGGTGGTAGGACTCCCTTACTCAGGCCTCCCCACGTCCTCCTTCTCATACCCCCACTTTTTTTCTCTTAACAACAATATAAAATAACTGAGGCAGCCGCTTGCCCAAGCTGTCAGTGAACCAGGCTAAGTTACAGAAGCCATCCAAACAACACCCTCTTTGATCCCAGATTCCTGCTGTAGGCGACAGTAAACGCCAGAGGGGAAGCTGAGGAAGATGGTTTATGATACTGTCTGAGGTTATTCTGGTCAGTGGACCACAGGTTCATCCCACATCTAAGATGTTTTGGAGTCAAAAGGCTCCACAAGTTCCCTTCTAGTGACACGTTCCTTAGGACCCAGTCCCCACTATGCCCGGATCAGGTGTGCGCCACCATGTCCAGCTCTCTCTTACAGTTGTTTTTTGTTTGGCCAGTCCAGAGATTAACCTAGAAATTTGTCCTTTGACACATGTGCCCCCCACATACACACACAAACACTAATAATAATAATACATAATTTAAAAATGAAATTGGTTGGGGCTGGAGAGAGGGCTCAGTGGTTAAAAGCACTAACTGTTCTTGCAGAGGAACAGGGTTCGATTCCCAGCACCCACATGGCAGCTATGGACCGTCCTTAACTCCAGTTCCAGGGGAATCTGAAGCCCTCTTCTGACCTCCGTGGCATTGCATGACATGGGTGCGCTCACATACATGCAGGCGATACACTCATACACATAAAATAAAAATAATAAATAAAGTATTTTAAAATAGGGTGGAGAGAAATGGAGGAAGAAGCCAGGCATCAAGTTCTGGCCTCCACAGGTGCACACACCCATGCACACATGTGCGTGTACACACACCCACACCCACACACAAAGAAACGAAATAGAAAATTTAAACTCTACCTTCAACTGGTAATGGTTTTATATAGAAAATTGAAAAGGAAAACTACTGGAATAAAAGGTAAGTTCATCAATGGTCTTGGATATAAACTCACTACACAAAAATTAACTCATAATTTAAGCTAAAAGCGACTTCATGTAATAGG